CACCCTCGAAATTAGCGAAGCCCAGCCACAAAATCGGCGACGCCTAGCCACGAAATCGGCCACAAACGGTCGAAATTGGTCGGGTTAGGGTATTCAGCCCCAACATCGGCCATTTGTGGCCAATATCGGCCATTTTGGCCATCGGTGGTGCTGGTTTGGTGTGCGTCGGTGGTGTTCGTGTGGTGGTGGGTGTGGTGTTCATGTGGTGGGGGTGCTGCTGGGTTGTTCTTCTTCTTATTATTTTTTTTTTACATTTTTCTTTTTTTTTTTATTTTCTTTATTTTTCTCAACCAATTATATATTGACACGTGTGCAAAAAAATTAATCACAAATGTTTACCTGATTTACCGGTTGCAAGTCATTTGGGTGCAATAGAAATTAATACCCTCTAAAGTTGGGAGTGATAGATAATAAACGAAAGTTGGGATTAATTTCGGCAGATGAGGCAAAGTTCTGATTAATGGGAGCAATTTTTTCTTTTAAAAAATATTAAAATATAAATACATTCACAGGTATGTAGAACATAGTTTTAAGAAATTCATTTCAGTTATTATTTTAGTTCAATAACATTAATTTTAGTTCAATAACATTTTTAAACAAAAAGATAAGTTTTGAATAAAATTAATGTTATTGAACTAAAATATTATTTTGAATAAAATTAATGCTATTGAACTTTTATTGAACTAAAAAAAGATACATAAATTATTTTTACGTAGAATATTAATTTTAGTTCAACAAAAATAATTTCAGTTCAACAAAATTGAACTAAAATTAATGTTATTGAACTTAAATTATTTTTACTGAATATTTTTTTTAAGGTGAATTGAACAGGGCTTTACATATATACTGTAATATTTGAACAAAATCAATTTAATCACCCGAAACAAAATGTTGTATTTACAAGTGTTTTTTTTTTTTGGGGGGGGGGGAAGCAGGAGGTTGGAATATTATTGATGTTAATGATGTATTAAATCTAAATTTTCATACAAAATGTTGTGAAACATAAATGTTATTTCAGATGGTATACTACAAGAAGGGGGGGTGAATTGTAGTAAGTTCCTAGTGCCTAATTTTCGTGGAATATAAAACAGTTATAGTTAGGAACTTAAAGAGTACAAATCAGATTTTACGAGGAAACCTTTCAGGGCCCAACTGGAAGTAAAACCTCGACCCACCAAGGGATTTTCAACACAACCATTTCACTATAATAGGGCGAAACACCTAGTTACATCCTATTATACACAGACCTTTCTCACAAGTTCCACCAATGAACACATCCTACCGACCCAAGACACTTCTCAGGTTCCTTTCACTTGACCCAAGACACACTCAGGTTCCTTTCACTTGACCCAAGACACACTCAGGTTCCTTTCACTCACTGTGCACTCACAGCTACCACTTGAATTTTAGAGAATTCAAAAACATACATGAATTTTAGAGAATTCAAACTCATCACACCCCAATACCCAAAATACTCAAACTCTTTTTCCCATTACAAGATCTCATTGAATAATTCTAAATACATATATATGAATAAAGAGATAAAACTAATATGTTGGACACTCGAGATCTGTCTGAAACTCACTGGACGTACTGTAACCAAAACCCGAGAGGAATTTTGACCAGGGGGACTGACTTAGCTTCGTGCTGAAGGATAAAATCATTAAACACGACCACTACACTTTGTCAGCCTCAATCTTGAATGAATACATATGAGCATATTTATAATACCCTCGAAATTTTCATTTCATCTTGAAAAAGATAGGTTTTATGAAAAGATAAGTTTAAAAGATATTTTCTAAAAATAAGTTTTCCTAAAATATATCTTTTTGTTCAGAATAAAATCTGTCAATACTAATAAGATATAAAATCATATTTTATTCAAAACTTATCTTTTTGTTTAAAAAGTATTTTTAAATAAACTTCCAAAAGGGATTTATTAGAAAATAAATATCTTTATTCAGTAAAACCAAATCCCTAAAAGATATGCACGTATTAGATAAATATATATCATTAAAACCGACTTTTAAAGACGTACATACTTAAGTTCCTATTAGCTTCGGAACTCTGACAGTCTCTGAGGTCCTGACAAGTCAGTAACTCTAATTTAATCGACTGTCTTGGTTCTATATAAACTTGTTCCAGACCGACTTTTATGTCCAACATACTTACATGAATCCTAGAGAAATATACTTCTATTTCTCCATCTTCATGTTGCTTCTCTGAAACTCTTGTTCTGGAATCCTGTAGTTTTGATGTATTCTGGATCTCAGGTTTTGCCCCAGCATTACACCGTAACCAGGTCATTACAACCCGTTGATATGTTCTTATCAGGAAACACCTTTGCCTCAGCATTACACCGGAACCAGGTCATTACAAACCGTTGATATATTTCTGTCAGGGAACACCTTGAAGTTCCATTTCTAGAACTCTTCTTCTGCTTTACTTGTCATCCTTAGTCTTCTAAGGTTCCTCTGTTTCAGTCCTCACTTCAACTCCCAGAGTTTACTTATTTTGCAAACATCAAAACACTAAAAGACTCTTATTAGATAGAAGTTTGCTCAATCATTAACATCATCATCAAGACCTAATCAGGGTCAATAATTTTCCCCCTTTTTAATGATGACAAAATGAGCAAACTTCTGAGGATAACAGAATAAAAAAGAACGTGTTTTTTTTTTTATTTATAAAAACAATAAAGAAAACTAAAACAAAACCAAACTAAGCTAGAGCTAGCAAACTGGAAAACTAAACTAAATTAAAAGACTCCTACACATACTATACATAACCTATATATGCATAGGATACTTACCTCGTGAAGCTAACATATGTAAACTCCTATTTATATAGTTACCTTCATGGTTCCTTCGCCATCATCATGTTCATCAAACATCACTCATTATTGCTCTCTTGTTCCCTCTATTGCTTATCATATATTGCTCAAGTTCCTTATATATATACCTGTCATTACTTAGGTTCCTTCTACCGTTTCCAACATAACTTATTCTTTCTACGCACAACTAAACAAACATGTTAGACAGATAATCATCATTAATTTATAATCATCAAAATTTAATTGCTCAACAATAAAGTATGTATCACTATAGAAGTTTCATAATATCAATATTTTAATAACTTTTACGAAGTATTAACTTTCAATTATATATATTGGTGGCTTGAGTAATGAATTGACACATATTATAAGTCTGAAGTGTCAACTATTATGGAAAGGAGGGGGTAATTCGTATTTGGTATGAATGCCTATAGTTGGGAATATTTCACTAATTTTCGTTCGACAAATAATTATAAAATTTTGACGAAAAAGCAATAATGCATAGGGGTGTCAATCGAGTTTTCGGTTCAGTTTTGCGTTTGGTTTATCGATTTTCGATTTGTAACGGGTCGGTTTTTAAAGGATTGGAATTATTAGCGGGTTAGTTCGGGTCGGTTTTAAATAATTTCGGGTCGTTTCGGTTTGGTTTATTTTTATTACACTTTCTTTTCGGGTCAGATTCTAATCGGGTCGAATTATAATTGATTCGGGTCATAATCGGTTCGGGTTAAATTCGGTCGATTTAAAAACGGGATTTGTCAATTTGAAGCGGGTTTTAGGTCAACTTATATCGAATCCTAATCGGGTCGGGTTGTAATCGGTTTGAGTTGAACTCAGTCGGTTTGACAATTGGTTTTGCCAGTTTTAAACGGTTTTCATTAATGTATATCATCTAGTATAACCTCAATATTCTTTACTTAGTTATTCCAATAGATCATACGGAGTATTAATTAGTTGTTTAACTTTATGTTCCTTTTTTATATAATGATTTTAAGGATCAAATAATAATAACAAATCTAGAGTTAGCTTTTAATTTAGATTTTTAATTTTTTTAATACAATATAGTGTTCTATAAGCCATTACTCGTTAGAGGACGATAATATTTGAGCATAAGAGTTTCAATGACCGGTTATAACCGGTTACGGGTTGTAAACGGTTCGGTCATAACTTATTACGGGTTACAAACGGTTCAATCCTAACCAGTTATAGGTTGTAAACGATTTGGGTTTATCGAGTTTTTGTCGGGTTTAAACGGTTTCGGTTTACAATGACTCGGGTTACTATCGGGTTCGGGTTGTTCTCGGTTTCGGGTTTTATTAGTTTGGCTTGATAACGAGTACGGTTCATTAACGGTTCTCAAACATTCGGATCGGTTCAATTTCAGGTTTTAAAAAACCGGGTCAGGTCGGTTTATGGTTTCAAAATAACAGGTTCTTATCGGTTCGGTTCCTTTTCGGAACAGTTCGAAATTGTTCGGATTCACCAGTTCGGGTCGGTTTTTGATAGCTCTAATAATGCATAATAGAAATGGTAGTTGAAAGCATAATAAGGTATAATTATTTTAGACAAGCAATAAAAAAAAATGTAAAATTACCTTAGAATTATAAATAAACAAAAGTTACTCTACTTGCTATACACTCTTCCGTACACTCCTTGTTTGTTTACAAAAACAATTTTAAATAATTATAACAAAGGTAGTTTAATATTTTAATCATAACAATACATCAGAGATGGAAACAATAAAATACATCATCATTAATCCCATGTTTATATACTAATAATCTCATGTTCAAGTATAATTATTTGTAATTATTTGTTCATTATTACTAATGTTTACAATGCATAGAGACAAAAGGGATCTTGCTTTCACGTTAATGCATGATTTTAGGAGCCAAGAAAAAAATACTATACATTACAGTTGACATGTGAATAAGGTATTATTGTACTACGCATTATGTATCCTGTTGATTGTTGAATTGGAATTCATATATATATGTGTTATGTGTTGAATAGAACAAAAAACCATAATTCCTCTTATTCAAACACTTAAAATTATCACTTCTTAAGTACAATTATTTACTACAATATACGTAGTAGTAATTTTATGATGAATACATCAATTTCTGGTACGTTGCTTATTGCATTAACCACTTGGCTCATTTTAATAATGAGCAATTTTGGTGAGTCTCATGGTTCCAATTTGCATGAGAAGCACTTCAAATTTAGCCACCTTGGTAATAAACCTCCTGGCTTTGGTTTGTATAATAAGCGGTCCAAGAAGTTTGGTCATCAAAGTAAGCTTTATAATTATGTTGATACATCCGAGGATCATATACGTACACATGATCAATATAGAGAACAAAACGGCCATCAATGGAGACCTTATGGTTCGGCTGGTTTGCAAAAGGGTCGACGGGTAAATGTTGGTTCGTTTAGTCGACGAGCAATACAAAGAAGCAATTACCCAAACATTAATCATGGGTCGAACAACCCTTATAGTCAATACACATATTCTCCTCCAACCCCATTTAGTTCTCCCTCAAATACTTATACCCCTTCAATAAATCCGACTAACTTTAATTCAAATCCTTACGTTTCTAGTCCTTCCAATACTCCATCAAACCCCTCTAACCCTATAACTGATCCTTATTATGACCCTTATTATAATCCTTCAATTAAGTTTTCTAGCCCTCCTGTTAATCCTCCTACATATACTTTTATTCCTTCTACAAGTCCTCATAGTTCTAGTAATCCATTAATTGCTCCTTCTAGTCCCTCTCTCAATCCCCAAATAAAATATTTTTCCCCTTTGGCAAGTCCATCTAACTCTTCTCCAAATCCTTTAATATTTTCTTCTAGTCCTCCTCTTAATCATCTTCCAATAACTACTTCTAACTGTTCTTTTAATGGCCCGATAGCATCTTTTACCCCTTCAGTAAGTCCTAGTCCTAATATAAATCCTCCTACCCATTTAATAAGTTCTTCTAGTCCGCTTATTTCTCCTAATAATGCCTTCTCCCCTTCCATAAGTCCAATTATTAGACATCATCTATTTCCTTCTGCTCCTTTCCCTAACCCTTCTATAAATCCTTCTTCCCCTTCAATTAGTCCTATTAATTCTCCTTTACATCATTTTAATCCTTCAATAAATTTAGGCCCTTTTAACAATCATCCTTCAAATCATTTTTCTCCATCAATAAGCCCTAATCAAAATATTAATCCTCCTATAACTTCTTTCCCTCAATTAATAAGCCCTAGCAATCCGAATCATGCTTCAAACCCTTCAACAATTATGTCACAACCTCCTAAAATTGCACCAAAAGATCTCATTTCCCCTTTAATAAGTCCTTCACATACCCCATCAATCCTAATGAATCCTTTGAGTCCTATTGAACATCCAAAAAATTCCTTCTCTCCTTTAATTAGTCCTATGCAAAATCCAAAACCTCTAATAAATCCATCTAACCCTCCTATTATCTCCCCGGTAGCTCTTTTATCTCCTTCCATAAGTCCTATTTCTAACAATCCTAAGTTTTCAATAAATCACTCTCTTAATCCTCCTATCAATTCTTTCTCCCCTTCAATAAGTCCTTCTGATTCTATCTCTAATCCACCTAATTCTTTTTGGAATCCTTTGAGATCTCCTCTTAGCTCTCCCATAGTGTCTTTAACGCCTTCAGAAACCCCTAGTAGCTCTCCTACAAACACACCTAACTCTTCAAATAATCTTTCTAATCCCTTACTACATTCTCCCATAAATGCTCCCGCTCCATCAATGAGTCCTTTTAATTCTTTTCACACAAACCCTCCTAGTAATTCTCTAACAACTCTTTCATCTCCTAACCTAAGTCCTAGTTCTTTTACGGTTCAACCTAAACCTCCAATACGTCCTTTTCTCAATCCTCCTACCAATTCTTTCTCCCCTTCACCAAGTCCTTCTGATTCTCCTAGATCATTAGCGAAACCCTTAATTTTCCCTCCTAGTCCTACAATCTCATTTACACCTTCAATAACCCCAACTACCTATCCTATAGATACACATAACTCTTCAATAAATCCTTCTAGTCCTCCGATTAATCCTCCCACTAATGCTCCTACTCCATCAATGAGTCCTTCTAACCCTTTTCATACTAATTCTTCTAATTCTCCAAGACCTTTTGGTTTGCAAGTAGGCTTCTACAAAGGTTTATGCCCTAATAGAGTTGTGGATATCGAAGCTAGCATTACATCTAAAATCCAAGAGCATTTTCTTAAAGATCCAACTCTTCTTCCGGCCATACTTCGTATGCAATTTCATGATTGTTTTGTCCATGTACGTACAAATCATTTTCAATCATTCTATTGAATTTGTTATCCTCTATGGTGACAATATGATTATAAATAGTTTCACATTAGTAATTTAGTATGTTTCATTTATTAGATAGCGGCTTATTATTATTATTATTATTATTATTATTATTATTATTATTATTATTATTATTATTATTATTATTATTATTATTATTATTATTATTATTATTATATGATTACTTAATAAACTAATAAGTAACTCTTTCATGTTTGATTCAATAAGGGATGTGACGCATCAATATTACTTGATGGACCTTCGACTGAGAAATTTGCCGGCCCTAATTTGAGTGTTAGAGGATATGAGTTTATTGACTCTTTGAAGGATGTAGCAGAAGAAGAATGCCCGGGGGTTGTTTCTTGCGCTTATATCATCGCTATTGCTACTAAAGAGCTTATCAAGATGGTAGGTAAACTATATCATGCTCTTAAATTATTTCTCAACGTTGTTTATCAAATTGCTACATAATTTTTGTCGGGAAATTTTGACTTTTACCACAAAAAAAAATCAAAAAAAATGTTTTTTACCACCAAAACTTCTAAAACTTTTATTTTACCATAAAAAAAAAAATCGAAAAATCTTTTTTTACCACCTAACGTCAAGAAAACCGTTAAATCTAACCGTTTTTAGAAAAAAAATCTTCGAATTTAGTGCGTAAAACATGCTTTTCATAGTTTTAGGAGGCCATTTTGGTTCTATGGGACCAATTTGAGGTCAGAATTGACAAAAAAATATCGGAAATGCTTCGTTTTGTGTATTCAAGCAAATTGAGGTATTTTTAAACACGCAAAACGAGACATTTTCGATCATTTTTTGTCAATTCTGACTTCAAATTGGACCCATAGAACCAAAATGCCCCTTAAAACCTTTAAAGAGCATGTATGACACGAAATTCGAAGTATTTTAAAAATTCTGTTAGGTTTTTGACGGCAGGTGGTAAAAATTTTTTTTTTTAATTTTTTATTTGGTGGTAAAATAAAAGTTTTAGAAGTTTTGGTGGTAAAAAACATTTTTTTGATTTTTTTTTGTGGTAAAAGTCAAAATTTCTTTTTTGTCAATTTTCAAAATCAAAAATTAATTATACGTAGTATTTAATTATGGATCTTCATTTTTTTTTAATAGGGTGGAGGACCAGAATATTTAGTACAAACGGGGAGAAGAGATGGACTTATATCTGAAGTCCAAGATGTGAGCCTACCAAGCCCCTTCGGATCTGTCAGACAAAGTATATTAGCCTTTTCCAGAAGAAATGGTTGCTCTTTTTGGTAAGTTTACTTCGTATTATTTACTTTATCATGTTAGTTTGTAATGTTTTTTTTTTAATTACAAATCAAAAGAAATTACTACCGCCGTTTTATATTATTTACAACGATTTGACTTAATATAGACAGGAAAAATGTTTAATCATTGCAAATAATATGAATCGGAGTTAGTAATAACCTAAATCGTGCAAGTTTCTTAGCTCAAAGCATTTTGCTAAAATTATTTTAGGTTCAATTTGGTTGAAATGATTATGGTTAGGAAATCAAAGAGATGAAAAGATTTTAATTATGTCCTCATGTTTTGTTTTAATACTAAAGGAGGCAAAGTTTTCCTTATTAACAATCAGGGGCTTATTCGGCATTGTTTTTTGGTTTTAGTTTTCAATATTTTTTGAAAACAAAAAACAAAAAACAAAAAACAAGAAAAATATATTTCCACTTTTTGTTATTAATTTTCAAAATAATCTTGATTTTAATATATTTGACCAATTTTTGATTCATTATATGATATGTATGTATCATATGATCTTGAAAAACAAAAAACATAAAACCATAACTATACAAAACAGACCCTAAGATGTCCCAATTAAATATTTATACAAGACAATGATTTTGAAGCTAAATTAATCTTCTAAAACTAATTTGTTTCCGTTAAATCAACTTACACAATTCCTATTGAAAAGAAATGAAGCTAAATGGATATCCATTAACAAAACAAAGTTTAGATGGCATGACATGGACTCACCCTACTTTACTAGTCTTCATATTTAAATGTTGGACCAATATACGTGTATGTAATCCACCATCCATGTAGCTACTATACTTGGTAATCCTAAAAAAAATTTGTAGATTACACATGATGTAGCACCCAAAAAAAAACTTTTTTTTTGTTTTTTTTTTACTGTAATTTTTTTCTATATATATTTTTAAAAAAAATATATCAAAATAGTGTCAAAACTTGATATTTAACAGCAATAATAACTAAAAGCTAATTTTATCAGGGTAAAAAAGATACATAGATGATTTCAATTTTAACATATACAATCATATGTTTAATTTGACCAAAGAGAAAGGTTTGTTACATATTAAGAATTTCAAATATTGATCTACTAAATAAATCAACAATCAAAATTAATTTTTCATATTATAATAAAAACAATCCAACTATATATTAATTGAAAAAACCGAGCATAGCTTAATTGAAAAAATCGAGCATAGCTCGAGCATTAACTAGTTAACTATAGAGGTAATGTTACATGCATCTTTAAAACAGTATAAAATATAAATTTTAAAATTTATGACAAAATAACGCGTAGATCAATTTGATTAATGCTTGCTTACTCGTAATCTTTTCTTTTTTAGCCTATTTATGCAACTTTCTTTCTTAGGACCATTAACATTTTTCTAAACAATAATGGAGCTTTTTTTTTCTGAAACGTTTCTTATAAATAACATATTATCCTACATTATTCCTACTACTCAATTTAAGTTATATTACGGTTTTTTGGTGTATTGCAATTTGCAAATATCATATCACTAATATTTAAAGCCGATCTTGGTCAATTTTATAGGGATTACATTGGTGTGGCTAGCCGCATACAAAATGCATTGTTATTTAATTTATTAAAAAAATTTACAGAATCGGTAAAAATAAGTTTTAACCGGTAAAAATAATTTAAGTTCAATAAAAAAAAAGTAATTTCAAGTCAATAATATCATAGATATCTATTCACAAAACAAATTACAAAAAGTACACTCCATATGATATCGTATGTGTAAATATCCTTCATTATCAGAACGAATTATTTGACCATATTTAACATTCAAGTAAAAATGTTATCATACAATTTTATCAACCATCGGAACATCGTCCGGACATAAAACTAGTTATGAAATAAAAGGAGTATTTAATTGATGATCAGAGATCAAGTCAGAGAAAACAATGAAATAGATTATTTGATCAAAAGTTTGGGGTCGTCACAACTAGTAAGATATCAGAGTTTATATCTAAATATTAATATTTACTTGCTCCATCATATATAATTTGTTTTTTCTCTCTAGTATAAAATTTTGTACAAATTAATGGTTAGAAGGAAAATAAATTATACATATTTTTTTTATGAAGTTTTGTACAAATGGTTAGAAGGAAAGTATGTAATTTTTTTCACCGTTAAAGCCAATCAATTGGTAAAGTGAATGAATATCATACGTTCAATGCAAATTGCAAAACAATATTAATAAGTACACTATTTGACTATTACTACAACCACGGCTTGAAACAACCTAATTTCTTTTTATGTTGACCTTACAACAAATTTTATCCTTCAACCATTATAGCTCTATTTTAAATACGTAGTAGCTTTTTTGAAATGAATGAATATCATACGTTGTATGGGACCTAAATTAGTTCATATGATCTATGTTGTTACAATAATAATACTCTTTGAATCAGGTGCACACACGGTTGGAATTTCGCAATGTATTTTCTTCCAAGATCGTTTGTACCAAGGGACAAGCGAATTTGACCCTAAAATGGATCCAAACCTTCGTCGACAATTGATTCCTACTTGCCCTCAAGGCACCAATTCAAACAATTTCACCTTTCTTGATCAAAATTCACAAAGCTCTAACAAATTTGACAACTCTTTCTTTGATCAAATTCTCAAGCAACGAGGAATCCTCGAAATTGACCAAGAATTAGCTCGTGATCCTCGAACTAGGGACTTTGTTCTAAGATTTGCTCGAAATGCTGCTTTGTTCAATACAAAATTTGCAAGTGTTATGGTTAAAATGCAAGCCCTTGACGTCCTCCTTGGTGATCAAGGCCAAATAAGGAAGGTTTGTAGTAAGGTAAATTAATCTAAGGCTCTAAGAGTCGGAAACTCACAAGTACAAAATGTTACTTGTATCTATTAATAATGAAAATTTGAGATATAGCTTAAATGGTTAGAGCTCAACTTAATGTGGTACTGCATGTGTTTAGGCTTGTACGATTTTTAAGTTGAGCTACGTTTTGTATTGAGTATGGAAATTTTATCTAATACTTGAATAAAAGTTGTACAAAGTACGACTTTTTAATACAGTCAAATAAAGAATTTGATCCCCGTATTGATTGTCAACGTATTAACTATAAAGTTATTCTTGACCTTTTGGTATTTAGTTTTGAAAGAAAAAAAAAATAATCACGAACAAGCCCTAAATTAATTGATCCACTTTAATTTCATACTCCGTAATAGCTATCATTTGTATTAGACATGTTAAAAAAAAATTAAAAAAAAAACACTTAGAGAAAGTAATAAACTAATAATGTTTGAAATACCGAATTGAAAATTTACAGTAGTCGTTTGAAATATGAATACCATAATGTTTTAATGATTAAATAGTTCATAAGTGACATATTTTTTTTTTCCAAGTAATTAATTATATTACTTCATTAATGGTATTAAATAGTATTATCAACATTTTTTTGATTTATCAAATTTTTAGTTTCATTTATGTAATTTTTATTCTTATTTTAAGTTTCTCTAATAATATTTATTTTATGTAGGATTAAAAATTTCAAAATTTATATTTACATTGTAGATATTGTAAGATTAATTGCGGCCATTCTATAATGTGAAAAAAATGAACCAATCTTATTATATATCATTAAAATAATATGGTAGTAATTTTTCATATGACCGCTTAAAATCATCCGAATTTTATCTTATTAAAAAATAATCATGGGCCTTTGGATTGTCATCTCCCAATCTATTGTAGGGAATTATAGGTACTACGCAACGGAATTAAACACGAATCATATTCATTAAGCACCTAACCAAGAATCTCATGCATAACACATAAAGAGTAAGAATTATACCTTTGAAGCGTGATTCCACGTACTAGTAATCGAGCTAGAACAAGGGAGACAAAGAACCTCAAACGTGATTCATCTACTTGGTCCACAGGCACGGATTAAGAACTCTACTAATGCTAGTTAGTCGCGATCAAACTCTTCAATCGACTTTCTGCGGAGAAGTATGAACAACGAATTAGTCACGAACCACCGCGAGCACCACCAGGGGTGGCCCACTAATAGAAAAAACGTTATGGGAAGCGGTTCAAACCCCCTAATGGGAAGCGGTTCTGAACCGCATGGGTTTAGGGGATTTGCCAATTGCCATGTAAATGGCAAGCGGTTCAGAACCGCTTCCCATTTGGGGGGAATGGCAAGCGGTTTTGGCGCCAAACCGCTTGCCATTTGTATATTTTTTTTTATTTTTATATATATATTAATGAATAATAATAATATTATTATTGACCTATTTTGATATGCACATTAATCTGTAATTTTAAAAATTATTATTATTATTAATATTATTATTAATTAACATTAATAATTAATAATAATTAATTAAAAATATTACAAATTTAAGAATAATAATAATTCAATAACAATAAAATGCATAATAATAATAACATATATAAAACTCATAAATAATAGATAGTACTAATTACAAATAAGTAATATAATGTACATATATATTTATAAAAAAATAAAAAAGATAGTAACTAAATATTAATTGTTCATAATAAAAAAAAAAAAAAAAAAAACTCAATCTCATTCATTATCTAACTAACACATATATATTATATTCTATCTAGATGCCATCAAATGTCACAAAAAAAAACCCACATGTCGCGAATTTCATCAACTTCTTCCCTTGTCAAAGGGTCTTCCCTTTGAATCTTACAAACCTTTGAAAAGAAAAAAATATCAAACATTAAACATCATTCATATATTACATAAAATTCAAACTAATAATTAAAAGGTAATAATGTATATGTTAAATATTTCAAACATCATTCTAACTTGCCCGATTTAGCATTCTACTAAGTTTTAGGACGACTTTTACCAAAAATTGCCTATTTGACTTCTAACTTGCCCGATTTCTACATTTCTTATCTAATGAAATATTTAATTATCATAACATTTCAGTTATAACTAGTCTTAGGTGTCTAATTTTTGAAATCATAGCAAATTAGCATTCTACTAAGTTTTAGGACGGCTTTTACCCAAAATCGCCTATTTCACTACTACTTTGCCCGATTTCTACATTTCTTATTGAATGAGCTATTTCTTTATCATAACATGTCAATTATAACTAGTCTTAGGTGTCTAATGTTTGAAATCATAGCAAATTAGCATTCTACTAAGTTTTAGGACGACTTTAACCCAAAATCGCCTATTTCACTACTATTTTGCCCGATTTCTACATTTCTTATCTAATGAGCTATTTCTTTATCATAACATGTCAATTATAACTAGTCTTAGGTGTCTAATGTTTGAAATCATAGCAAATTAGCATTCTATTAAGTTTTAGGACGACTTTTACCCAAAATCGCACTACAACATAAACGAGCAAAAGCAATGGTCAAATGCAACGGTTAAACCTAATACAACGGTCTAATACAACAGTGTAGCTAATGCAATGGTTCAATGCAACGGATAAAGCTGTTGCAACGTATTTGTAGGCTATTTCCACGGTTCTAACATAACCGTTGCATCAGCCTATCAAATGCAACGAAATTTTAGGATACTGCAACGGTCCAAAATGACTGTTGCACTAGGTGTTAAAATGCGAAGATTCAAAAACGCGCCTTGTTTCCCGCTCCCATTATTTTTCGAAAATTTGAAATTGTTATTCGGCGGGGCTTCAATATTTTTTGAAATAAATTCTTACCTTTTCATATTCTTAATATTTATCCTCTACTCTATTTCTCTCTCTATATCTATCTTTTCTCTCTCTCTCTCTCTCTTCAAGTTTCAATCTTCCAACATCAAGCTTCAAATACTTTCAATTATCATCTTTTTTTTAAGTTTTTGTTATGTTAATTTATTTCTTTAATTTTTTCATATATGAAGTATTAATGTGTTTAGTACAATTTTACTTAATTTTTCATTTAGAATTATTGACATGCTAATTTTTGTTTATAATTAGCTGTTACAAATCAATGAATATTTAGCTAATGCCTTGTAGTATTGAATAATTTTATAGTTAACTTATATATGTTGGTCATAATATATAGTTCTTTTCAAGTCCTTATTATTTCATTAATTCTTCTACTTCTATTATTTATGTTTTAAGATATTTTTTCTCTTGGGGATTTTGTTTCATTTGCTCATCTAGTTTTTAGATTATTATTTATGGGTGTTTCTAAATTTAAGTGTATTTTTTGGGTTTGTGGTTTTATTTAATTTTTTGACAATTAAATTTATTATATAGGCTTCTTGGTATCAACATATCATTGTATTATGACAAGTATGTATTATTACCTTCTCTAACAAATTTATATTAAACTAACTTTTTTTAATGTAGACTGATGTGATTAAATGATTTTATTCTCTAATGTAATTAGTTATTTGTTTTATATATATAGGTACATGGTGATATGATGATGAACAACATGGTGTATATCAAGGAGGAAGAAAGGTGTTGTGATTATTGTGACAATATTATTGGACAATTAGATACATATAAAATTAGGTTTTATAATGTCTTTATATAGCTTTATATATTAGTAAATATTTAGTTTACTATTTAGATAAATATTTTGGGTATGGAATTGTTTGCAAAGTCAAATATCAATGTAAAATTACTTAATTTATATATATATACATATTTCTAGAGGATAAATAAAATGGTTGTTATATAATTTTGTTTACATTATTTGTTCTTTGTAGTTTTATTAATTTTTTTATTTACTATGAGCATTTAATAATAATAATGCAACGGTTCTATAGAAAGTAATGGGTGTTGCACTAGAACTAAAAGACCATTGCATTAGGTCTGTTGCAACGGTCCGTAGGATTTCTAAAGAACCGTTGCATTAGGTTTTATTAATCGTTGCTTTAGGCCTTGATGCAACGGTCCATGGTTGATTGCATAGGACCGTTGTATCAGGTAAAATGAACCGTTTCATTAAGCCTAATGCAATGGCCGCAAATGCTACGGTCCTTTAACCGTTGCAATAGTACTATAGCAACGATTTTTTGCCCTATTGTAACAGTTTTCATTAGGGATTGCATTTGCTCGTTTATGTAATAGTGTCGCCTATTTCACTACTACTTTGCCCGATTTCTTATCTAATGAGCTATTTCTTTATCATAACATGTCAATTATAACTAGTCTTAGGTGTATAATGTTTGAAATCATAGAAAATTTTAGGACGACTTTAACCCAAAATCGCCTATTTCACTACTACTTTTCCCGATTTCTACATTTCTTATCTAATGAGCTATTTCTTTATCATAGCATGTCAATTATAACTATTGTTAGGTGTGTAATGTTTGAAATCATAGCAAATTAACATTCTACTAAGTTTTAGGACGGCTTTTACCCAAAATCGCCTATTTCACTACTACTTTGCCCGATTTCTAAATTTCTTATATAATGAGATATTTCTTTATCATAAAATGTCAATTATAACTAGTCTTAGGTGTCTAATGTTTGAAATCATATAAAATTAGCATTCTACTAAGTTTTAGGACGACTTTTACCCAAAATCGCCTATTTCACTACTACTTTGCCCGATTTCTACATTTCTTATCTAACGAGATATTTCTTTATCATAACATGTCAATTACAACTAGTCAGAGGTGTCTAATGTTTGGAATCATAGCAAATTAGCATTCTACTTAGTTTTAGGACGACTTTTACTATAATTGCCTATTTCACTACTACTTTGCCCGATTTCTACATTTCTTATATAATGTGCTATTTCTTTAGCATAACTTATCATTATTAAATAGTCTTAGGTGTCTATTGTTTTAAATCATAGCAAAAGATCATTTTACTCAGTTTTAGGACGGCTTTTAC